GAGCTCAGTTTAATAATCTCACTGAGCTCAGTTTAATAATCTCACTGTGCTCAGTTTAATAATCTCATTGAGCTCAGAGCGTGTGGTGTTTGGGTCACTGGCCTCCTTTCCCAGCCGGCTCTTCCAGGACCTCCACAGCCGGCCGTCTCGGCTGTAGTTGAGGCGGTACATCTGAGCGAACTCCTTCCCCAAACCTCGGGCGTATCGTCCCTGAGTCCCGATCAACGTCAGGAAGGAGAGCCGGCGCAGGTCGATCTGCAAAACAAACGCTTTGTCAAAGTAAGCCGAGTGGAACGTTAAAGAAAGATCAGACCTCACGATGATTCAACGTTTTAACGTTAGATGAAGTCGACGCAGGAAAATCTTCCAGCTCGTAGTCGTCGTCTGAACGTTTTTTTCTTCTGTACGATTTTCAGCTATTTCAACAAATCATAAATCAAAACGTTCGGCTCGTTCAGGACAGTCCTGCTATGATTTTTAGTTTTGGTACAACTTTAGCTTTTTGAAATATTTAGCCTTTTCTGACATTTTGTTCTCATAGAGAATGAACTGAGCTCATTTTCCATCCTTCACATCTTTAGATCCGTTTACAACCTTTTACTGCTCCTTCACATTTTGCTCTGCTTCAGCTTCTTTCAGCTTTCTTCTGCAAATTTAAACTTTTTTTGGATACTTTTAGCTGTTGTGCTCCTTTCAGGTTCTTTCTGCTAACTACACCATTTTTGTGCTTCTTCTAACTTCTTTCTGCTAATTTCAGCTTGTTATGCTCCTTTCAACTTATTTCTACATTGCAGGTTTTTCTACTATTTCAGCTACTATATACTGTAGCTGTTTTTATGCCAATTTAAACTTTTTCAGCCAGTTCCACATTTTTTGTACCCAGTTCAACTTTTTTCAGCCTAATTCAGCAAAAAAGTGCTCTCTCCACTTACTTTTTGTAATTTCAGCTTCTTTCTGCTTTTTAAGCCACTTTTCAGTTGTTATTTGCTAACTTCAGCTTTTTTCAGATAATTTCTGCTTTTTTTGTGCTTATTTCTGCTTCTTTCAGCATAATTGAGCAAACATGGGTTCCTTTTACTTTCTTCTGCTAATTTAAGCTTGTCCTACCTTTTCAGCTCCCTTTTTTAGCATTTTTTTTAGCTAATGTCTGCCATTTTCAGATAAATTAAAGTTTTTCTTGGTAATTTTAGCTACTTTCAGTCTAATTAACTTTTTTGATAATTTCAGCTTGTTATGTTTCTTTCAGCTTTTTTCAGGTACCGTAGTTTCAGCTTTTTCTGCCATTTAAGCTACTATTTAGCTGTTTGTATGCCAATTTTAGCTTTTTCAGCTAATTCCACATTTTTTTTTAGCTCATTTCAGCTCTTTCCACCTCCTTCTCTTAGGTTAAGCTTCTATCTGCCTTTTTGGCTTCTTTTTAGATGTTTTATGTTAATTTTAGCTTTTTCAGCTGATTTCATAATTTTTGTTTTAATTTCTGCTTATTTACACCAAATTCAGCAAATATGAGTTATTTCTGCTTCTTTTGTTAATTTAGGCTTGTCCTTTCATTTCAGCTAATTTCAGCTGTTTTTCAGCAGGTTCTTCAGCAATAAGAATTCACACTGCATTTTCACAGGAAATGCAATTTCTCTAGTTTATTGTGAGTTTGAGTCCGCACCCAGGGGCTTGAGAGCTCCTCCTAAGCAGGACCGGACCTGTTGGGGACAGTTGGACCTGTTGGGGACTGTTGGAAACAGTTGGGCCTGTTGAGGACTGTTGGACCTGTTGGGAACAGTTGGGCCTGTTGGGAACAGTTGGGCCTGTTGGGGACTGTTGGGCCTGTTGGGGACTGTCGGACCTGTTGGGGACTGTCGGACCTGTTGGAGACTGTCGGACCTGTTGGGGACTGTTGGACCTGTTGGGGACTGTTGGACCTGTTGGGGACTGTTGGGCATGTTGGGAACAGTTGGGCCTGTTGGGGACAGTTGAACTGGTTGGGGACAGTTGAACTGGTTGGGGACTGTTGGACCGGTTGGGAACAGTTGGGCCTGTTGGAGACTGTTGGGCATGTTGGGGACTGTTGGACCTGTTGGGGACTGTTGGACCTATTGGGGACAGTTGGACCTGTTGGGGACAGTTGGACCTGTTTAGAACAGTTGGGCCTGTTGGGGACAGTTGGACCTGTTGAGAACAGTTGGGCCTGTTGGGGACAGTTGGGCCTGTTGGGGACTGTTGGACCTATTGGGGACAGTTGGGCCTGTTGGGAACAATTGGGCTTGTTGGGTACTGTTGGGCCTGTTGGGGACAGTTGGACCTGTTGGGGACAATTGGACCTGTTGAGAACAGTTGGGCCTGTTGGGGACTGTTGGACCTGTTGGGGACAGTTGGACCTGTTGGGGACTGTTGGAGCAGACACAAACCTGCAGGAACTGACTGTCTGAAGGCTCCAGCTGTCCTTTGGGACACCAGGCGCCGTCTCCTTTCTCAAGGTTCAACCTGCAAACACAAACGGGTCAAAGGTAAAGAAAACAGCTGTGAATGGGCTCAACGAGGAGTTCTTTGGTTCTGGAAACGAGATTTGGGTCCAGAACGTTGGACAGTTCCTTCGTTACGACCCAAGGAAGCTAAGTCGGAACCATCCGACCTGTCCTGAACTTTAAACGAGCCAAGGAGACTCTGACCTGGCGTTCTGAGGTCCGGTCGTCTCGTACCACTGGCTGGAAGCGGTCAGGTCTTCGTCTTTGACCCGCTCGTCCTCCATGCCCAACGCATAGCGACAGTGTTCTGAAACCCAGAGGGGGAAATATTTCAGGTGGATCACACGAAGCAGCTGCTGCCTCGGACGGCACGGCTCATTTAGCTGCGCTGGTGAGTTCGTGCTGGAGGAGAGGCGTACCCGGGTCGATCTGTCCCACAGCTGCTGGAACGTGAAGGATCAGCAGCAGGAAGAGGTGCATGATGGTCCGTGGTCACACCAACACGCCCGCTACATCTCTGACAGGAGAGACGAAACACAAAGTGAGCAGCTGCAGTGAGAGGAGCACGAGAAGGACCGAGCCGGGAGCGATCACAACGTGTGGACAAACGGGCCGAGCCCAGAACCGTTTCTGTTTTTAATCAGCTGTTTGACAAGAACACGAAACCTTCAGCTGATCAGTTCTCCAGCTGCTTGTTGGAGAACTTCGTGTCGGTGAAAATAAAATCTGTATTTTTTATATTCAGAGAAGACGGCTTCGTGGGCTCAGGACGTTTTAAAGAATCCAGGAAATAAAGTTCTTACACTTTATTATTTAATTAAAAATGTTTTCAACATTAACTTTGTTGTTTTAAACCTCTACTTTTAATAATCCTGATTTATTTTTTTATGTCTGCTTGTTGAATAAAGACGTTAAAAACAAGAAGTTTATTTCTGACACACAGAATTTATAAGAGCGACCGAACACCAATAAAATCTGTTTGGATTCTTTTTCATTAATCCTTTAAATGTGCGTTTGGACATGAATGTCCTCAGGCGTCCATCGGGGTGCTGCAGCGCCCGCCACACCCCGACTTCTCCCATTAACATCTCACTTGAAGTCAACCGAATTAAAAAAACATTTCCAGTTAAAGTTCTGGTGAACGAAGAGCTGCACGATGTAAACCGGGCCCCTGAACCCGTCGGTAAATAAACCTTCAGCTGTTTTTGTTTGTTATTGTTTACATCTGATAAACGTGACGCAGCGGGTCTTCAGCTGAACCTGGATCAGTTCTTCTGACCCACATAGAAACAAAAAGCTCCTGTTCCTCCTGAACAAACGCCTCGTTCCTTCTGGAGGAGGTCAACTGGATCTGAGGTCACAGGTCGGACGGGCCGTGTGTGTGTGTGTGTGTGTGTGTGTGTGTGTGTGTGTGCGTGCGTGCGTTGGAGCAGTCTCTAATCTGCAGCCCCCTCACAGAAGTTACACAACACTGAAACATCCACAGAGCTCCACTCTCCTGGAGTCGACTGTAAATCTGTTCTGAAGGGACAAACTCTCGGGGGAGAACAGCTGGACGGGAGGAGGAGCTGAAGGGGGAGGAAGACAAAGAGAGGAAGAGCAGAGAGCTGATAACACAGAGGAGGAGGAGGAGGAAACAAAGGACGGAAGGAGGAGGAGGAAACTTTCTTGTTCTTAGAGTTGTTGCAACAAAGATCAGGTCAACGTTAGCTTGGAGGTTAAACGTCACGAGGTCTTGGACATAATCCTGACTGAAGCTCATCTGCTTCACAGAAACCTGTAGTCTGACGGGATTAAACTGGTGTGATGGGATCAGCTGTAAAAGATGGATTTTACTTCCACAACCAGAAAAGAAGGAACTCTGCTGCTCCTGTGGCTGCAGCTCTCTGACGAACCTTTACTCGTCTTTAGCACAAAACCTGACCCACCGGGCCAGGAAGTAAAACCAGCCCCGACGGGCTGCAAGAACAAACCTCCAGTCAAACATCTCACACACACACACAAGACTTCATGAATCCACAGAGACCTGCAGCTTGTTAAACTGAGCACGAGGCCGCAGCACGCTCACGTTTCACACTTTCATTCTGAGCCGAGGCGGTTCCTGCAGATCTGGACTTTAATCCAGATTGATGTGAACGCAAACGGAACAGCTAGAAGAACTTCAAACATGGCTGCAGCTGCTCCTTATCCCTGCCTCACAAACTGATTTTGTTCTGAACTCCAGGAAGTGAGTTCTGAGCTGCAGCAGGAACAACTTTGCTTTCTAGAACTGAAGAGGGAGAAACGGGGGAGAAACGGGGGAGGGAGGGAGCTTTATGTAATGTTCTGGCTGCAGCACAGATTCCTGCACCGTTGCTCATCTTCTACAGCAAAGTCCCACGATGATAGAGACAGAAACATGGAGAGGAGGGCTGCGTGAACACGAGGCACACAAACTGAAGGACCTTTCAAATTAAGAGCATGAAAATGTGCTTCCCATCTACATATTTCAGCTTATGATAAATAATAATAAAATAAAGTGCTATGTGTTGTCATCATTGTATGTTCCCATGCAAAGACGAATTTAACCCATCACACCTGGGATACATCCAGGTGGAGCAGAGGGCAGCTCTGCAAGCGCCCGGGGAGCAATTCGAATAAAAGGCAGTAAATTGATTTAACGAGGGTTTCGCCCAACAACTCAACGCTTCAGTAAAGTTTGAACTGTAACTCCAGTTTACGTTCCGAGCATGAAACCGCGTCGTTGCTCTGCAGCTGTCACGTAAAGCCAGAAAGATCTTTTGTAAATTCACAGATTTATTTTATAACCAAAACAAAGTTTATCTTTAAATGAGTCAAAACTGCAAAGAAAATCAGAATAAAAATCTCATTTTTCAGACACTTCAGTTTGAAAAACTCTGTTTAATTTTTAATGTATTATTATTTAATTAAACATTTCACACATGTCTGCACATGACCTGTTTAGATCTTAATTGCTGGTATTTTTATATTCTCTTTTATTTTTTATATTCGCTGTTATTTTTTAAATTCTCTTTTATTTTTTATATCTTGTGTGATTTCTTGTGTGTGCTCCTTTGTACTGAAACTCTGGCACAACAATTTCTTGCGGGATCAATAAAGTTCTATCTAATCTCTCTCTTATCTTAATTTAGTTCTTAATTAATCCAAGGATCTGAGAAAAACCGTCGGCAGAGTTCTTCGGCTGTTTTCAGATTGTAAACGTGGCGACTCCGGCTGTTTTAACGACACACACAAGATATTTTTCAGCTCAATCCGAGGCTCTTGAAACGAGACAGAAAAACACAAAATATTTTACGTATTTAAAAAGCAAAACCAGAGTCTCTAGTTAAAGTTAACGAGATATTTTGCTAACAGACTGGTTACGCCCATCTTTCATGGTGGAAACAATAACAACTTCATTTGAACTTTATTTTTCTGGATTTCTGTCCCTTCAAAATAAACTAAATGCAGCTTGAACTCCTTCTGCCTGAAAAATACTTATTAAAATAAATAAAAGTGAAGTTTTGATGAGATTATTCTTTAGGTACTTCTGAAACGTGCTGCTCATTCAGCTGTTTGTTGTCTGTGAAAGCTGGATTTACAGCTGAACATTGTAGCTATTTATTTTTACAGCCGATGAGAGAAACGTCGTTTAGATTCTTTATCTGAAAAAAAACAACCTGAAACAAAAGTTAAACCTAGCTCAACAAAAGCTTAATTTAGCAAAACAAAAGCTTAAAGATATAACCAGCAAATAGCTAAAAGCTAAAACCATCAAAATATTACCTAAAAGCTCAAAAACAGCTAAAAAATGAAGCTAGCTATGAACTCAACTAGAAAAACAATAGCTAAAAGCTAAAAGTGAAGCAAATATGCTGGAGCAGAGTTCAAGTTTTATTTCATGTATTTTATGATAAAAAATACTTTAAATAAAATACAATTATTCAAAAAGTGTAAAATTTACAACAAAGAAAAGGCACGGCTGTGAAGTCCTGAATGATAAATAAATGATTTAAGCAGCTGAAAGTAGCTAAAGTAGTCAAAACCATGAGTAGAGCAGAAGAAACTTTAAATGTGAATGCTGAGTCAGCGTTTCAACGACGAGTCTGTTTGTTGAAAAACCCTAAAATAAAAAATAAAAAAATCAAACCGAACACGAAGATTTATCTGTAAAGTCCTCCGGCTCCTTGAGATGGAAACAACCGTTTAAGTTCAGCAGGTTTTCATTCACTGGAGGTGATTTCAGCTGCTGTTCAGACAGAACTCTAATGATGTGAAATAACTGTGGTGTGACAAACAGAATAAAATGTAATAAACAGAAGAATCACTCAAACTTTTCTGCTGCAGGTCAGAGAGAGTTCAGAGTCCATTCTACATGTGAGCTTCCTCTCTCAGTCTCCTCCTCCTCTCCCTGCTCCTCCTCCTCATGTCTCCTCCTCCTCTCCCTGCTCCTCATGTCTCCTCCGCCTCCTCCTTCAGAACAATCTGAAGCCAAAAGCCTCAACATTCCAAACATTCAACGCAACCCAGATTTCTCTGCTTCTCTCTGTGGGCCGACACACACACACACACAGGTTTGTTTTGCTATCTTTGTGGGGCCTTTGCATTGACTTCCATTCATTTTTCATTCATTTCTATAGCCTAACCATGACCTTTATCCATAACCTAACCATTACCAGTACATACCTAACCCTAAACCGAACACATCCTCAATTCACACCTTAGTCCTAAACCTAGCCCCTAACCC